GTCTGGCTAGAGATCTGAGAGACAGGTCTTATGAACCTGCTGCGATGTCTTGAATCCAGGAACTGCTAGAAAGCTAACGAGAGTTAGGAAGGAAAAATGCTGCAAAATGCAGCTCTATGTAAAACAGACATCGTGCTGTACTGGATCTGAGGTGCTGCTTTTAGCAGCAGATCCATGTTAGTAGAGCAATAAAATGTTCCAGTTAGACTGAATAGGTAAAAGTTTTAAATAGAAAATACAGACCTCTCAGTGGAACTTGATGTAGATAATGGGGTTCTTTCAGAAATGACAATTGATAATATGATTTTTTACTAACTATAACATTCAGTTGAATAACTTCTTAGTAACTTACATGTAAATAAAAGTGTGCATGAAAATTTAGCAAAGAATTTCTCCCTCAGCCTACATAGGAAAGGAAAAATTATAATACTGCTGTGTTTACATTTCAACATCTGATCAGTGTTCAGAGGATAGACAAGGAAGGTAACATGGGTTTGTTTTGGTTTTTTATTTATTAAATTAGACCTTTAAAAAAAAAAAATCTTGTATATCCAAAGAGAGTTTATGTTCACATAGTGTTTTTAGGGGAATGATCACATTTGACCAGAAGACTTTGCCTTCAGAGATTGTGGGCTTACAGTTTAAGCAAAGTACTGGAATGTTTTTCATTCATATAAAGACTGAAGAGGAAGAGCTCTGCCAGCCATTGCCACTCTCAGAGTGTATTACTGAAAGAGGAAGCTGTTTGCCATGAAGGAGCTGGCAAATGTAGATTTTACAAGTGATGCATGTTATGTGTTTTGCTGGCACAGGGTCAGGGATGTCAGTTTGTCTTGGTTTTGTTTTAGTTTCTCTGTCTTGGTGGTGGCAGTTTCTCTGGTGGTAGTCTTACTGATGCTTAGGTTCTAAATGTCAAAGTTTGTATTAATATTGAGAAATCTCAGGTATTGAGCAATCTGATACTGTTCCATTATCCAGACATCTTGTTTTAAAATAAGGACAATTACTTCAGGTTTTCTGAATATTCTTGGAAATAATGTAGTTTTGCAGAACTGGTATATCCTATGTAGCAGTGACTGGGTGATTAATTACAACTTGTCATGTTCATTAATATTTTTCTAGTGGAGAGACTGGTCCCCTTGGTGATTCTGTCTCACAGTCTAGGTGTTCTCTCCTTTTTCTGGAGCTGTTTGGTAGCTGTTGAACTTACTGAGAAGTTGGAGACAGCAGCATATATTTAATGTAAAATAAACATGTCCACGGTTAGTGTAAATTTAGAACTAGTTTAAGAAGTGACAGAACTTGCATCTAGCTCTATGGTTTGAATTATTCAAGGTCACTCCTGGCTTCTGCAGGTGTGAACATGTTATACAACAGCATGTGACACTGAGTTACCATTGTACACAGTACAGTGAGAGACAACTGACTTCTAATAAATAAAAGGAAATTATTCTTACAGAATCACTTAATATAAGCATTCCTTTTGAAAACAGAACAGTTCAATTAGATTTTCCTATCCTGTACTAGCCTTCATGTGTCATTGAAGAAGTGGCTTACAATAATTTCTAAAATTACTAATTAAAGTACACTGTGCTCAGGCCATATCCATGTTGTATAAAGTTAGCAAAAATGTATTCTTACATTATGCCTTTTTAATGGGTATCCTTCTTGCTTGGGAAGACGTCTTTGAATTTACTTTTTTTCAAAACTAATTTTCTATCAAAGTACCAAGTTATTAACAGCAAAACCTTTTTTTAAAGCAAAAGTGTAATTTGAAAGATACATTTTCAGTAGATAGTGATGCATTTTTAGAAGCAGTCACATACTGAACCAAATTAGTTTTATTTAACTCTAATAATAGTAATTTATAGGGTTATTCAGAATGCTCACTTTGCAATACTTTTGTGTTGTTACTCATGCAAATCCGTTTGTCCTAATTTGTGCCTGTGACATTAGTGCTTAATGGTAGATATACCAGCTTTTCAGCAGATTCAGAGCTGTTATCTGATTCACCTTTCAGAAGCAGTTTAAAGGGAATGGCTAATGCTTTGGAATTTTGTTTCTAAATCTACTGCATTAGATACTCATTACAGCAATAAGCTTTTTGATACACACTGTGGACAGAAATGTAACTGCAGTATGTTTATTCAAAAATATATAATTAAGCTGACTATTGTAACTTTTTTCTGAGTTTTGTTAGACAGGAAGTGTTGCTAAACTGGGTTAAATCTGAGGTAAGAACATATCATTTGGGCACTGGCATTTTGAAGATGATGTATATAGTTAAGCTTTGTATGCAGTTCATGTCTGGCATAGGTTAGGTAGCCATATGTGAAGTAGAATTGTGTTTGTAGAAAAAAATCTCTTTTTTTTTTTTTTTTTTTTTTTTTTTTTTTTTTTTTTGTGAGTGCATTTGCTTAGTCCGCAGTCTTCAAGTGTTGGGAAGAAGGATATGTTGGGTTTCTTGTCTTTATTACTGTGAAATACTAAGATTTCACTTTAGTCTTTTACACTTCAGTGATCAGTTCCAAAAGATTCTACTGATAATAAATTCTGAATCAGAATTACTTCCAGTTACACTTCCTGGTAGCTGCTAATCTTTGGGCTTCCTTTCCTGAGAAGATAAGGCGGTGATGGGGTTTTTTAATAGCTAAAGTTTCATCAGAGTTGTAAGTGAAGTGAGGGAGAATTCTGTAAGGCTTTACCAGACATACAGGTCTGGAATGAAAATCTAAACATTAGCTTACATTTAACAGAGCATGCCATACTGTTTTGCAAATAGCATAAGTCTCTTCCAGTATAATATTCTGTTGTTGATTTATGTTAGGCCATGTTTTATTAAACAGGTTTAAATGCTCAAACTTATTTTACAACCAAACCATGATCTTTTTATCAAGTAGGAGTACGGTTTTTGTGCTGTTGATATGCTGTTACTATGGCTGGTAATTGGAGGTTTTTAAATGATTTATGGTCTTGCTTTAGGAAAGATTTAGTGCAGAATGTAAAGGTCACAATCACACCATACAGAAACTGGGCCCAATATTTTTCTCAGCAAAGATTGGACTAGCAGAGTTGAAGAATTCTTTTGTCATTGATGATTTGAGTGGATAATAGTCAAGAACTTGAAATTGCTGTCAGTTGGAAATCCTAGCTTTGTAACATCCAAGGGTTTTGTAACATTCCTTAGAAATATGAGTACATTGTTCTTTCTTTTTGTGTAGGGTTATAAGAAAGCTATTAGTGGCCTAAATGACACCAGTCTCACATAAAATGTTTTATAGTACATCAGTGAGATGGCCTTTTGCTATTGGAGATGATTGTGGAAAAGGGTGCTTGAGCCGGTGATATACCATCATGTGCTTAAAAACATACTTGCAGCCTAGGGGAATGTACTCTGCTTAAAATCATACCTTATACAGATACCAGGACGTGGAAGTTATTCCTATTTCTTTCTCTTCTGTGTCCAGGGAAGAAAAATTGTTGTGCATTCCTGCACTGGGAAACTAGACAGTGTTGATACATGTAGCAGAATTTGTCCAGATAGGAAATACAACCTAGTGAAGTTTAAATATGATTTATTAACCTCAACAGCCCCAGATGCTACAGCTGTTAATCAGACCAGTGTGTAAACATTTGGAAATTACTTCTGTAGGTACTTTGATCTTGAATTTGATCTAAAACAGGGGGAAGAGCTATAAAATACAGACATTATAAACCCTCAAAAAAAAAGACAGGTTTTAAATCGAATTCTTTGGCTACTGGCCATGTTTCCATTCTCCCGGCTGAATGAGTGCACTGGTGTGGAAGGGTACCTTATATAGATTAGTAAATTTAAATCTGTGTATAGCAGTCTTAATAAGAGGCTCGTATAGTTAATCAGAACCCTGCGACATCATGAGCCCAAAATACAAACCCAGGCAAATGAGATACACTGTTTCAAGTGAAGTTTCAGTTCAATTTCTGTTCAAACCTTATCTAGTTAAATCTCTTTTCCTTCTTGTCACTTGAACTGTGTCACGTCTGTATTGAGACTTCTTCTAATGATTTTTTTTTTATCTCTGAGGCTTTGTTGTCCAGTCTCCTAGATATTTTCATTTCTTCTTACCATTGCCTCATGCACATTTTACCATTCTCTTTTTTCCTTATTGTTTTCAAGCCATCTTTTCTGTGTCCTGTGAGCACGTAGTGTCATCGTACCCTCATTATTTCACTTATCCTTAAAATATTCTTCTGCAAAACTTAAATCATAGTTTATGAAATATTCTATATCAAGAAAGCCATGGTGAAACAACATTTGTCTTCCTCTTTTAGGTCCTGATACAGAAAAGGACTTGAATCCTTTATTTAATATTAAGCTAGAGAAACTACATTTGTGCTTCTCTATATTGGGGTTCTAGTTGAACCCACAGTAGCTCCATACTTGATTTTACCATTGTCCTCCTTGTACCCACTTCCAGTTTTCAAGCATTTAGTAATCAAGCATTTGTATAGTAATCAAGCATTTTCAGCAACTGACTGCATCGGAGTTCAAATTCAGATGGTAGAAATCCCACTGGAGTAGCTTTCCTTGTAGCTAGTAAGAGTTGCAGTTCTATAGTGTCACTATATCTATTAACTAAATTGTTTATAGTTTCCTGATTTATGAAAGGTTATTCTCTTTCAGTTCTGATCTACAGTGTTTTGCCCTTTAATATCAATACTACTACACGTGATTTGTTACTAAGTGAAAGCTAACCACTTGTCTTGCATTTGTGGCATTTGATCTTACGAGTTTTCTGTAATAAGGAAGGTTTGTTGCTGTTTCCAGAAGTGTGAATAAGACGAAAAGGAGCTCTTTCCACATATACCAGAAGGGAATACAGCGGACAAATTTAATATGTATGACAGGAAGATTTTGGAGTTGGTTTATAAGCTAGTTCATATTCTTGTTGTTTACCGAATATTTGCACTGTGTTTATTTGCCTGGTTTCACCATCATTTCTTCCCACTTTTACTTGCAGGTTAGTCACCTACTCCAGAGAGAATCAGAACAATGTCCTACGTTTTTGTAAACGACTCTTCCCAGACAAATGTGCCGCTGCTGCAGGCTTGCATTGATGGAGATTTTAACTATTCCAAAAGACTGTTAGAGAGTGGTTTTGACCCAAATATTCGTGACAGCCGAGGCCGAACTGGCCTTCACCTTGCTGCAGCCAGAGGAAATGTAGACATCTGTCAACTCTTGCATAAGTTTGGTGCTGACCTACTAGCCACTGATTACCAAGGTAATACAGCCCTTCACCTGTGTGGGCATGTGGACACCATCCAGTTCCTAGTTTCTAATGGACTTAAAATTGATATTTGGTAAGTCACTTTTTTTTTTTTTAACAGCACATACTTTGTAATATACTAGTCTTCTGTCACCAGAGCCTTGCATATAAATCTGCTGTTGCTGAAATGCTATATAATTTAACTTTTTAAATATATCACTTAATTAAAACATGAAATAAGAAGTTTGGGAAACAATAAGAGGCCACTTTTGCTAGTCTATGCAACAAGCAAAGCAAATAAAAATAGCAGCTGCTGGTGTGGACTGCTGTATCTAATTCTGCCTCACTGATGACATTGCTATCCTGGTTTGGCCAGACAGCCAGGTGTGGGTGGTTGGCACCAAAGAAAAAAAATCACATTGACTGCTCTAAAAGAATTTTCTTCACCACAGTTCTATTGTTTTAATTGTTGTACTGTATCAGACAAAGAAAATACAGTATATGCGTGTGTCAGTTCATTCCCATACTCCTTTGGTAACAATGCTTCCTTTCAGTGTTTTCCCCCACCCTCAAAGTCTGTGACTCAGTCCTTCTTTTAAATATTGTATATTCTTTCCTTCTGGCTTCCAGCAGCTGTCAGATGCCAGTGCTCAGATGTAAGCTCTCAAGCTGCAAAATAACTAGCTGTTTCATTGCAGTAACTGAATTATTTTGTTTGTGGAACTTTCTGTATATTCACAACATGTGCAAAACCAGTAATAACTTCAAAACCTTTGTTTTTTAATGTCCCTTTTTCACCTGTCCCTTGTTAATGTTTTCAACTCAGCAAAACTAGTTATTGGCAGACCAAATTCTTTATGGGTTGTGGGCTGGTTTTGTTTTTTTTTTCTCCTCATTTCAGACAACTGTTGAAAATCCCCTGGTCTGAAGGCAGCTCTGGTCCTATTCAGTATTATTTTAATAGTAGTGGAAGGACCATCTGTATTTTATTTCATTTTTGCCTGATGTCCTTATACCCACATGGAAAAGGGGAACCAAAATTGCACAATTCCTTCTTGAAATTAAGCTTAATCTTGAATATTGCCATAAATCTACTGGGGGTTTTTTTGTGATAACACCCAGAGATTCCAGTTAGATTAAAATACTAGGAATTTTGATTTTATTTCGAAGAGAGAGTTGTGCAATTTCAAACCTAAATATACTGATTTTCCTCTATAGCCAATTACACTATAATGTGTATAGATAGGAATTTCTTAATGTCTCATACAACAGAAAATAGTTCTGAGGACCTACTAAATTGTAATGTGTTGTGCTGAGTTGTCTTGTTACAAAATTTCTGTATTAAAAGTTTCTTTTCTTCTCATGTCCTCTTGTGGGGTTATTTTAGCAATCACCAAGGTGCAACACCGCTTGTTCTTGCAAAACGAAGGGGTGTGAATAAAGATGTGATTAGACTGCTGGAATCTTTAGAGGAGCAAGAGGTGAAAGGATTTAACAGAGGAGCTCACTCAAAGCTGGAAACGATGCAAACTGCTGAAAGTGAAAGGTATTTGCAAAACAAAAATAATTACTAGAAGAAATAATGTTTATGGCTTTTAGATTTTTGTAATTGATGTGATTGTACCTCAGAACAGATAGTATCACATTTGGCCTGGTATTAGACAAAATCAAAATCAAATTTTAAATTTTGAAAAAATCGAATTAAGATAAAAAAAAGTTTTTCTTTTGATATTTTCATTTTATGGTGAAAATTTTTAAACATAATTACTCCTTTTCCATTACAGGCTCTCAAAAATACTCTACCACTTATCACAAAGCCAAAGGGAAAATGGGGTGAATGCAAAATGCCAGTATCACAGGCTAGCCTAACATTCTCTTGATAAGATGGATTGTCTATGCAATGAAGGGACAAGCAGACTTTTCATCCATCTGAACTTCAGTAAAGTATTTGATACAGTGCCATATATAAAATTTCTATTGGTAGTAGTCCTGGAAAGGATGGAGAATAAAATAAGAAATTCATGTAGGCTAAAGAGATCATTAAAGGAGAACTGAGGATTTCAGAAAAATTGCTGACAATTTTAGGGAAAGTATTGGATTAGAGGGAGGTTATTAATGAATTCTTAAAGGTCTGGTTCTGGGACTGTGCTTACCTATATTTTTCGTAAATGATACTGCCATAGGAAATAGTAGCATGTTAGTGATACTAAGAAGTGAGAGATAGGCAACCTGGAGGAAAATTGGGATGACATAAAATCTGGGATGACAAAAATCTGGGATGACAAGGGAGAGGAAATTAATACGAATAAATTGTGATTCAGTAGCACAAAATGCAGCTTCATTTACCTGAAGCTGTATGCTTTAAAATGGAAGTTCCTCAGTGGAAAAGCAGGGTATAGGAGAAAAGACTTGATTTATTAGTCAGTTCCAGGAGATCATGGTGCCCTGAAAAGGCGATGAAGTCCTAGAATTCACAAAACAAGGTATTTCCACTACATAAAGAAAACTGTCAGTGCCACTTTAAAAAGCAATGGTAACTTCTGCTGTGTAGTATGTTTTCTAATGCTGTTGAGCCCCATTCAGGAAAGTTTAATTTATTCTTTAAGAAGCGTGGAGAAGCATTACTTCAGCGCTCAAGGGAGCAGAGTGTCTGCTTGAGAAAGGAGGCAACCTAGAGCTTGTTTTAGCCCAGTAGAGTGAAGGCTGAGAGGTGTGTGATTGCTGACAAGAAATACTGATTTTGAACAACATGAAATAACTGTTTAAAACAAAAGCTGATGATAGCACAAGAGCCAGAGGATACAGATAAACCACATGTACTTTTTTGATTGAATATTGGGAGTGTTTTTTTACGATGAGCTTCCAAGACAGTCTTCTTGTAGGATTTAGATGAGGCAAGAAGCCTTGCGAGTTTCAAAGGAGGGTAGTTCTCTTGCAGAAACCATTGAATTGCCAGTAAACCTGACAGAACATGGAACTGAGATTAATAATGCAAGAGATCTTTCCAGTAGTTTTGTTTTGGTTTTAATTTATGTTGGAAACAGGATATCGGCGTTGTTTGGAATACTTGCTGTTCTACTGAATTTATTAAAATTTGTAATTTTTTAATATTGTCTAATAATTATCACAAAAGACAGGGAGTTTTGTCACATAATTGTTGTTCAGTTTGTGTCAAAATGTACACAGACCATACTGTAAATGATAATTAAACTGTGTAAATGGAGTTGTTCTCTAGGTTGAGTAAAAAGGTGAAACCCAACAAAATTACAGAAATCATGCCTAATACTCCCAGTGAGCAGGTTGGAAGTTTTGTCATACATCAGGTCCCCCCACTTGTCAGAGAACATTTTAAGGCCTGAAATAGAAAATTTAATATTATTCTCAAAATTGCATGGGTATAAATTAGAAGAATTTGTGCATATTACCTTTGTGATTTAACTAAATTTTATTGAAAGGTGCTTGCCACGCAGAAATGCATTTATGCTTTTTTGTTTAAACATATGGACCAACAGCTTGGCCCCATTTAAATTACAATTTTTGATTTTATAGTGTCCCTTTAATGAACATTGCTTCCTTTCTGTTATTTGACCTTCATAAACGTTACATTGTTTGCTTTGGCAAGGAAGTCAGCAACTCTCCTTGGGGAGAGGCACAGAGACATAAACAGTGCACTACCCAGCTTATTTGTGAACGTGTTTAAAATGTCTGAAATACATTATTTTTAAAATAACAAATAACAGATGCCTACAGCAGCAAAAGCAAGTGAGCTTGTGTGCTGTTTGCTTTGTAAATAAATAATGGCTTTGTAAGGGCTGGCTTTTCAGACCTCCACAGTTTCACTCCTCCCTCTCAGTATTATTTTCACATTTTAGAAACACTTAGATCAATGTCTTCTGTCCTCTCCCCCACTCTCCGACTCTCTTGCATTATGTATGAACCTATGGGGAAATAATGGTTGCTCTTTCTGAAAACAGTCTCTGACTTAAGTTTTCTGTTCCTTATTGCGTACAGTTGCTGCTGCTCTGGAAGCAGAGGCCAGAGCTAGGTTCCCAAGTTGAATTTATTTTCTCTTCCTTTCCACTCCGGTCAGCGAGGAGTGGCACTGTGCTGTCAGGAGGCAGAGCTCGCTCTGTCCATCTTTCAGCACAGACGATCTGTCCATCTACACAGCCCAGCATGACCCATGACTGCTCTCACTAGTGCATCCAAATGTGAGTTTCCACGTTGTGTTGGAAACAGAAGAGAACATCTGTCTGGCCTGTGTGGCACACACTCTTCTGTAGGATGCATAGCTGCATTACCATTTCTTAAGCAGTTGTAATTTGTAATAAGAAAAAATATTTTGAATAACACTGATTTTAATTGGGTTGCAATATAAGATAGCAAAAGTTTTTTCTATGTACTCTTTTCTATTTAATGAGCAAGCATGTGATGTTTTCACGTAAATTGCATTGCACCTTTATTTAACCTCTCTGGTTATGTATTAACTAGTTAGTACTTAATGAGTGAGTAGTTATTTTCTACACCAGTGGCTGTCTTTTATGAAACTCTTTGTTTTGCTCGGGAAATTACAATAAACAAGGAAGATGACTAAATCCTGCAGCCATGGGCAAGCAAAAATAGCTTTACAGCAAGGTAAATATTTAAAAAACCAAAAAGACAAGCTGTTTAATAGGCATTTTCTGAAATCCTCTGCATGTGATGCTGCAATACTTCAGCAAGCTATGCGAGTTCAGACAAATTATTCTTCAACAGCTGTACTTCTTAAGGAAAAATACTATATGAATAGTGTGAAGTTTTTTCATGGTGTAATCTTAGAAGAGAGGTTCATAAATGAGACCTTTTTCTGATAACAACCATTTGTCAATTTATTATTGTCACCAAGAACAATAGCATTTCTGCAGTTAGTTTTGACTTGGAAATTACTTTTCCCTGAAATGTTCTTTTTTATTATTGCTATAAGAGATATATAGGAATGTGGTAACTGAAAGCAGTTAGAAGGGAGGAAAAAAACTGGTTTCTCTCATCTTACCTTCTGCTGTTGATATCATTGTGTACGTAATTGGCTTCACCATTTCCTTTCGGTGCTTGTCAGAAACTGATCCTGTAAACACCTGTGTTTGTAATTTCACTTAAGTGAGAAGTAGTAGGACCTTGCAGATGGCTAAAATTTTACGTAAGTGAAATCAAGTAATGAGAAACTTTTCCTAGTCTTCGTGAGGTTTTTCTTACAGCAGCAGAGGTTTCCTGTTTTAAGCCAATTGTGAAACCAACAAAACTGGGAGAATGATACAAGGAGCCATGCAGTATTTGAAACAGCTTATGTTTTTCTAAAGGTGATCCATTGTCAAGATGACTGCCTCGTTCTGATTTTGTATTTGTTTCTCATTTAAATGTAAGAGTTCCAGTCCCTAATTTATAGTCTGACAATTTAAGGGGGGCTGATGGATTGGTAGTGGAATGTTTAAACATCAAAGTAGTTTCTGAACGCCATATGGCAGAAAACACAGCAATGCCAACTTGTCTTGAAGATCAGAAAGTTTCTGAATTTCTTGTTATCCAAATTTATTGTTTTATGTGATATTTTTTTGCTAGAGAAGAGGTTATTGTAAGAAAGACATACAAGAGAGTAAAGATCACTACAGAGTTCAGAATCTAAATTATATTCGTTAAAGTTTCCATTTTATTCATCAGAGTTTATTTTTAAATCATTATTTGTTTTATTAAGATCTGTGCCCCCTGAGGTTTTATCTTATGCTTCATTAGATTTTACTAAGCCATATTTAGTATAAATTATGAGGATTGACTTTTGAAGACCTCTAGGTGGCAAGCCTGCAAACTCAGTGCAGTTGTACAGATGTAAATATCATTCTCTTTACACAGGTTAATAAAACATCCTTTCACCTAAATTAAGTTTAGAGTTAGGAGTCTTTTCCTGATCTTCTTTGTCTTGATTTAGCAGAGTCAATGCTATAAATCTGCCAGTGAGTTTAGTTTTTAATTTAGAATGTTTCGGTTGGTCTTAGGAGGATTACTGTTGTACTTAAAGGTACATTCTTTTGCTCTGATGTATTTTTAACTTTAATCCTTCGTAGTGCAATGGAAAGCCATTCCCTCCTTAATCCAAACCTACAGCAAGGTGAAGGAGTTCTTTCCAGTTTCCGCACGACATGGCAAGAGTTTGTGGAAGACCTGGGCTTCTGGAGGGTGCTGCTCCTTATCTTTGTCATTGCTCTTCTGTCACTTGGAATAGCATACTATGTTAGTGGGGTCCTTCCTTTTGTAGAAAACCAGCCTGAACTGGTGCACTGAAGCAAATGCAAAGAAGTGCACTGTGCTTTTCCCTGTTCTAATCTTATTTTGAGCTTCTTGGAATTACTCTCTTGGTGCAGGCAGTGGCAGCTGTATATACTGTTTGCCTTTTGTACTTATTATTAACCCTTTTGAAAGAGGGATTAATTAATTTCAAGTAAAACACTAAATTCTAAAGCATTCCTAAGCTACCTCTGACTTACCTTGACTTACAAGCAAGATGTGAAGATAATCCTCTCTGTTGATAAAATATTATTATTAGAAAAGGCCTTTCGTAATGAATATTAAATTCCTTGGCATGCAAAATATATCTTAGTACAGAACCAAATTTGATTTATTTTCCCTATGAAGAGAGGTAAAGCTATTGTTGGATTTTTTTGTGTGCACTTCAGTTGAAAGAAAAATATTGTTTTAAAAGTCCTCCTCAAGAAATACGCATAATATAATAAAGCATTCTGATATATAGACAGCAATAAGCTGCAATTTCATAGTTCTTTTAATGCCTCCCCATAGTTTCATATCTGCTAGTTTATAAGAAGAATTAGTTCAAGTTTTACTATGACTTTAATGGATAGATCACTACTTTATTTATTAGGCTAATTCAGTGTTTCTTCCCTGTATGAATTTAATGTTGTTAATACCTGCTTGAAGTAAGTTTTGTAGAACAAAGCTGTTTGTTGTGCTTTGGTAGTAAAGTTGTCTCAGCCTTAGGCTGAAGATTTTGCCTTTTTGTTGAAATGTTACTAAGCAAACCTTTCTTTGTAAGGATGGTTAAAAAGTGATCTAGGTGTTTTGCTCTGTGTATAATAATTCTGTAAGGTCATTTCTTTGTGAAATATGTAATGAAGGGTGACTTTTTTTTCCCTCCCACAAAGACCAGACTGAACCATATGATTGTATTGTTTTCATGTTTGTGGAGAGGACTTGATTGAATAGAATTTCTTTTTAGAATTGTTTTCCATGTCAGCATTTACAGGCTTATGAATTATTTTTTGAGTATGCAGAATAAAAGTATTTAAAATGTTAATATTTAGGAACATTGTATGAAAAGAAATCTTGACCCATTCTGTGCTTAGCTGTGAAATCCTTTGTTTTTAAATAGCCTAGGGTTATGAATCAGTTAGATACTCTTATGAAGGCTAAAAAGGTACTACATACTAAGTTGGAGGCTTTCAAAGAAAGCAGATTTCTCTCCTCCCATGCTTATTAGACATTTAACTCTCTTTGTTGGCATTGCCTTGAAAATCCCAAACAAAATGATTTTTTTTGCTTAGTCACTCCTAAATTGTTGCTAAACAACTTATAAATTACTATAAGTATTGATAGAAGTGGCATACATCTCTCTGCTCTGCTATCATGTATGTTCTTCCTGAACTGGGCCCGGTTCTAAATTGCATCTGAATGATTCTTGATCTCATTCCTTAAATTAGAGGTTCATGAAATGATACTTTTGTAGCAGCCACAATGCCACAGAAAGGAAAGCCTCTTTAAAACAAAACAAAACAAAAAGCGAAGCATACTCCTTTTCTGAATATTTCAATTACTGTGCATCTATTCAGGAACAGAGAAATATGAACTCATAGTATACCTAAACTTCTATTTACTTCTCTAAACAAGTATATTTGTGTTAATAGTACTCTGTATCTTGAATAATCATGTTGTCTTTCAGTATGTATTATCTGCATATTTTATAATTGTATTCTCAGTATGGGTGAATGCCACAAATAAATATATGTAGTAAATATGTCTTGTTTTATTATTACATTAGTGCAGTGGTAATGATGCTACCCAATTTTACTGAGTTTATTTGTTTGTTGTGCATTGATAATAAGCATTTCACAAGTGGGGAGGTTCCCTCCCTGAGAAATAGCAACCACGCTGTTGGTATAAATGAGGTTTTAGAGCATGGTTTCTTTAGATTTGCCTCTTATCTCCAGTATTATCACTGAATCAAGGTTGCTGTCTGTCTCTCCTCTTATCTAAGATTTCAGGCATTGACCATGTGTTCTAGAGGCCCCTTGAGATTAACTGTGAAGAGGTACAAAATAATATAACCAAGAAAGCCAAGCCTGAGCCTTAAGTAGCCTTTCCTACTTTGCTGTACCTTGTTTATGTTCTGTGCATAAGCAGTTTAAAACTGCACATTGAAAAGTTTGAAAAATCGTGTGTGTGTTCCAAATTAACGTATGTAACTTTTTAAACCAAAAGAAATCCAAAGCAATGTTTGAATTTCACTGTGTAATGACTGCTACTCTTTGAAATAAGGATGTAATAAATGTCTGACTAAAAGAGGAGTTTGTTCTGTATATACCTCTGTTATTGAAAAGGGACAGCTGTGCCTTTCAATATATCTATAAACATTAGCAACTTCCTTTTCAAAGGTTGATTCTAAAGAATGAATTTACCTCCTGTACACTAGATTTCAAGGAATACAATCTGTCTTTCTTACAGGAACAGAAAGAGGACTTTAGCCTATTTCCTCTTGAAGCCGTTGTCGCAGGGAGTTTTACCATTTCAGCATAATGACAGATACCAGTTTAGATTGGCTGTAAGTCATTAAGATTTCTTTTACTTACTACTGCAGTGGTGTTTAGATACCTTGATCCAGGGACTCCACATTGCTAGGTGCTCTTCAAATCCAAGACAGATTGTTGTCTTGAGCTGTTCTCAGACTAATGAACTAGAACAGAATAAGGAATTGAGAGAGAAAACAATCATGGAGGAATGAAGCGATTTCTTCCAGTGTCATAAAACAACTTGATGGACAAGATAGTACAAGGTAAACTGGAGTGTAAAATGGATGTGTATAGGCTGCTCTGCAGTGGGCTGTCCCTGTGCACACATTTATTCCATGGCAAGATCACCGATCTTACCTCATAGTAACTTGTTCATGTGCCATATCTTTTTATCTTCAAGGGTTTCTGTTTTCACTCATATTGGTACTTTGCTTTGTAGAAGGTTTGCTGTTGTGTGACTCTCATGGGTAGGTATTGTTTCTGGTTGCCACAGTACAACAGGTAATCATCATGAAAAGCTCCTATGAGAGAAAGAAAATGGTTTCACTTTGAAGTATTGAAACAGAAGATTGAGGCAGTTTCTGGATCTGCAGCTGATCTGGAGTTTGATTTTAGCATGAGTCAACTAATCTCTCTGGTTGTTTTTAATATCTTAAGTAAGTAAAAATGATCAACTTGCCAGTGTATTGTAGATGGGCTAGTTAGCTAGGTAACTCTTTTCCTAATTAAAATATGCTTGGTCATAATACATTAGAGAAATGCAAATTAAGTAATTTATCCAGAAATCCAATAGCATCTTTTTAAAGTAGTACTTGAAAGTACAAATTGCAAGTGAAAACTCTCCTGCAAACTTAAAAAAAAAAAAAAAAGGATAATATTGTCTGTTGTCATATTCAGAAATTTCAAGTCTAGCATATATTTAAACATTACTTGAAGTTGACTTTTAACAGGACTGATTTCTTCCTCAGCTGACACACAGATTAGCTTGTTTCTGAAGCCAGTTTTTTTTTCTGAAATTGTTCCTGTATCTAAATCCAGCTCTTTGTTTAATTAATATTTGAATTGGTGATTAAAATAAGTCTTTAAATGATGTGAGAATTAGGTCAGAATGCTTTTCCTTCATTCAGTGTTCTTTTTTTTACATTTCAACATTAATCCTTGTGGATTGGCTGCTTGGGATACACTTTGTAAAATTCCCTAAGGGATCCAAAATGTTACAGAAATTGTTGTTGCCAATTGTTACTACATTTTTTCATCTCTGGTGTTGGGGCTTTCTAGAATTCAAACATCGTTGCAGAGCTGTAAACTTTGTAAGTGCTGAAGTACTGTTGAATCATGAATCTCGAATCTCTCTTAATATTATTAAATTAATTTCTGGTGACAGTAGAGATAATTCTGTACCTGCACTTGCAGGACAGTATGGTGCACCTGTTACCTGAAACATATTTAAGTACTTCAGCTGAATTTAGTGTTGCCTGCCATCTTTTGTACTGCCCTTACAAATGCTTCAAAGGAAGAACACTTTTAAAATATACAGTATGAGGAAACAAATGCAACTAATTGGTAGTTCTTTTCTATTTATTGCCAGAAAGTGAAGTGTTCCCAGGTTCATACTGCTAGAGAAATCTGAGATGAAAAGTAGAAGTCTCCAACTGACAGTGATCTGGTATAGTCTGTGCTGTTATGCAAAGCAGAACTAACGATCTGATGTTGCAGCTGAAGCAGTCTGTGTGCAGAACCCTGGAAAATGTGTCTCTGCTGTAGGCATTTATAGTTTTTAAATCATTGTTGCAACTAAGCATTAAGCAACCAATATTTCCTAATGACTATGATGAGACAAAACTATTGTTCTTCATTACTGCCAAGGGAATGGGAAATCTACTGGAAGTTGCCATAACTAAAAAGCAACAAATCAGAATTTCTTCTGAAGTCAAAGTGTGAACAAGTCACAACCGTGGCTTCAAGTGGCATGTTCTGTCTGTGTGATTTTTAAACTACGTTCTGGGTAAGGAAAAATGAGAAGACATTTGGAACAGAATTTGTTATGTGGTATATATGGTTTGCAGAAAATAGGAGGGAAATGAATGCAGTGAGCCAAGACAACAACAAGGGAGGCAGAGCAGCATGATCCCTTCATGAATCACTGCTTAAAGGCCAGTCCCAATGCTTGTAAGAAGTGCAAGGAGTGACCAGTAATAGCCTCCCAGCAGGAGAGGGATTTCACTGGCTTGTGATTACACCATCTCACAGGGGTGGCCATGCAGCCCTGCAACCTGAGCTGGCCCTTCTTGACTTTCAATGTCTAGAGCACTGCTATTTCAGACAACTGCATGTTTGAATGTGTGCCTACAGTAACAGCTGCTCATGTGTAAGCCAAACTGGTTCCTCCTATACAAGAATCTTTTTGCTCATAGGTTAGCAAAAGAAGTTTTACCAAATGTGAACAGAAGCTCTTTGTAAAACATTAAATATTTCTGGTGTATTCGATTATGTTTATCTAAATATCAGAAGGCAGGAATCCAGATGAAGGATCAAGTATATGCAATAATATCTCATTTTCCTTTGCTGAAGAAAAAAAATCGAAAACATTCTCAATGCAAAGCAAGAAGAAAATCATAGTAAATTTGTTTTGAACTGTGGAATATGAATTCGTTATTGCATCAAATTCCTTAGTATAAGGAATTTTTCAAATAAAATCTCTCACAGGTAAGTTTTTTAGTAGAAAGGCTGACATAGCCTTGCAGTGGTGTGAAGATAGTAACATTTAAACGTTGTGCTGGCTTAATGAAGTGTGCATATTGAAACAAACTAGTTAATAAAGATAGTGGATTTCTGCTAGAATGTAATAATTGAAATGCCATATGGTCATCCTCATATTGTTGTCTCATTGCAGGCTGAACATCTGGCTTGGTTTGTTTTGGTACAGATATTTTCAGACAAAAAATGAAGTATATAGACATGCATGGGTTTAAGCTGGCAAGCAGAGTTTCTGTAGCGGACATAAAGAATAGTGGAGCACCCCACTGAAAGTCATGACATCTTGTATGTGGACTGCTCAATCCTGCCAGACATGTTCCTTACAGAACTGGTGTTTCTCCCATTTATGGTTCTGGTTTGAACCCTTGTGTCAGTCAGTGAACACCAGTGGTTAACATAGGGCTTAAACTGAAGGCTGTTTTCAGAAATTTTAATTATAAAAGTCAAAGCTTTATTCTTTATTTCAAAGTTCAATGATATTTTTTTTTAATCTTATGTTTACTAGAATTACAGCCTGCAAACATGCACAGGTAATGAGCATGTGTGTGTGCTTACTCTGTGCACTCTTATGCCAAAGGAGGTTTAGGAATAGCAAGCAAGGCCTCCAGTGAGATCTGTTTGAAGTAAGTCTGATCTAAGGAATTCTGTTTTTTGTCATTTGTCATCAAATTGGTATTTAATATACCACCAGCTCTGTTTTTATGCATTGCACTGACTTACTGACATATTTTCTTGGTCTCAGTGATACAGTTTGGGAAGTGTAGATCACATTACCTACCTTGCAGAGGTGCGCTTCATCCACCAAGCACCATTATTTTGATAGTGAATTCTTCAGTTTCAAAATGTTAGTCAATTCTCTTTAGTTCTTAGTGACACTGTCTGCTTTGCAAAGTGAGCAACTTATTTGCTAGTACAGTACAGCTTGTTTCGCTAAGGACTTGGTTGTTTTGTCCACTTTTCATGTGAAATGCAACAATGGTTAG